TGGATCTGAAGCGCCAACTCATGAGTAACGGCCTCTTCAGCGACGAGAAGTGCTTTTTGGTGATCTGTGGACAACAGTATCGATACGTATTGAACGACGACTGTCTCATAGAGTGGATCAAAGCGGACGATGTCGTCGAAGTGCACGACAGGGCCTATTGTCACCCAACGGATCCGTCCGCACCGCTAGAGTAATGTCTAGAAATCATGTGTTTTTTGTAATCAATACTTAATTATCTGTTATTTGTTTTCTTCAGAGACGATGAAATTGCGGACAAAAAGTGGTCAGAAATGAGCGCCGAAAACGAAACGCTGAGAAAAGAGTTGCTTTCGATGCGAGAGTCGATGGCATTGAAGGACAGGGAAGTGTCGGCCCTGAGAGCCAAGTGCTACGTAAGTGTGATGTGTCAGCTCGCGATGGATAGCCGTGAAGCGGCGCTCAGGGATCAGATGGCGGACCTCCGGGTGTGGATGGAGCGCAAGGAGTGTCAGCTGAACGCCTATAGGGAGGCGTTGGTCGACATGAAGGCCACGATTGAGACGATGGCTCAGGAGGACAGACATCGCGATGAGTTGGCGGATCAAATGGCTCGCAACGGGTCGCCGTCACCGCCCGGTTCCCGACGGCTCAGCGCTGCCGACTCTCAGACCATAGACGTAGGCGTTATCACTGAACTCCTGAGTGAATGCAAAATAATTACCACTCTTTTGAATGGTATGAATGGAGAAGAAGAAGATAAAGCGGTGACCACTCTCGAGGAGATCAGATCCGTTATCGATAGCGATAACGAAGACATGGATTAGTTTATTGTAAAGATAATTATATGACCATTCAATCACTTGAAACCAAATCAATTTAATTCTGTGATAGTTATTAATTTTTGTGTTTATAAAAATAATTATAAATATTGTTCTAGTTGTTATAATTAATTAATTAATTAATATTAAATTTTATAAAATAGTTTTCTTGCATTAAAGTTAGACACAAAACTGTAAAGCGTTTGTAAAACAAAATAAAATGCTATGTTATTGAGTAAAATGATGGTTATTTATATAAGTGGTCCGACACTCATAGATAAAAGCATACATTATTGTGGCTTTTAATACCACAACTGACCAGTAGTTAAGACATGTGCTTAACAACTAGTGTACAGTTAATTAATATAATTTAAATAAATCTATGAGTGAATTATGACCACAATTTTTCCCATATAAATAGTCAACACGTATTATCTGGTGATTTAATTTACAATTAGCATGTTGGTTATTTGTGATAATTATTATGAATATCATTAGATGTTGTCTAATGTTGTGTTAATTGTCCGCAATATATGTTTATAATCTAATTATAATATGATCTGCAAATTAATGACATATATTATGGTAAATCTAAGCGCAGGTAATAATAAGTAGATTGTAATCTAGTATTCATATTATAATTGTATGTTTGAATAAACAGACAATTTCTACGAAGCGTTCAGTCATTTAAGAAAAGCATTTGTTTCACGACATGAGAGGAAAGGCATTATTATTATGTGATTTCAGACATAAAGTTGTAGAGTCTGTAGACCTTTGATAGCATTATTTGACTAAATAATAGACTATTTTTGCAATAAACAAGTTTGACGTTTAGGTCCTTGAAAGTTGTCATTGCCAATGAATTTTTCAGACTTTTTTTTACCATAAATAGTATATTTTATGCCAAATGATATACTGGTAAATGCTATTGTATTTCCATTGGGATCAGTGTATCAGTATTTGAACACAAAGAAACATATTTAAAATACAAAATGTTTGAAATGTTTGCGTAGAGAACATGATTTGACAGCAAAACAATGTCTAATGTATTTCAGATTTGATGTTATAATAAAATAGTTTTTATTAATAATTTTATCAGTAGTTATAATGAAGCGATTATTTGTTCAAACGATTTGTACGTTTATTAATATGAATTCACATACGAGTCCTTCATATAATCGCTTATCATCTGTAGTTTAGTTCAAATAATTTTTTGTTTTGCGATAATATTTACCTGAAAAAAGTTAACTTAATAGCAAACCCTCGTTATAGCAACCGGTGGTAAAGTACTGCTCATTTACGGTATGGTATAATAAAAATGCTTATGATAATAATTTCTCTATTAAATTGTACGTAAGTTGATTAGAAATAATTACTGTACAAACTATGAGATGTATGAATTTATTGCTTAATTACCACAGGTTAACAATACCGAGAGTATAGTGTTTTTCTCTCCCCTAATGATTTCATATCCTGAATGAATGACAAACCATTTTTGATATGTTATAGAAATAGAAATATTTTTTATGCCAATTATTTCTGTTGGAAAGTAACGAAAGTGTGAATAAAATACTGTATAAACGCGTGAATTAACTAATGTTTTCGCTGAAAACACTATTAAAATAACAAACATTTCTATGTATTAATATATAGGCGATCAAGTGTTTTTAATTTGTTACGTGGTGTTTTAGTAATATTATGTGGTAATAATGGCGTGTATAGTGTACTACTCGATACTTTTATTAACATTATATACGGCTAGTGTCCGGTGCGATGAAAACACCACAAACTATGCCCAGACTTTTGATAAGACAATCGACAAGAAATATGTGGCGAAAGTAAATTTCGACG